CCTGGAACAGATACACAATTGGCCAACGGTAGAGGGGGTACCTACCTAGTTGTGTATTTCTCTTTATATCAGTTAAGCCCCAGAAACCCTCCTCCAAACAAAAGCTTATGAGGTCATGTGGTTTGTACAACCCACAGAAGAGCTGCTCCAATTGAAGCAGGTAAGATTCTGACTATGGCCTCCACCCTGGCTGCCAACCACAGGAGCACCTCAGCAAAGCCCCTAGGTTACCTCTCCAGCAGTCAGGGGTCCCTGTCCACTTTAAACTCCTGACATGAAAACCAAACTCAGTTCAGCTGTCTTAGAATGCTGCCACCCTTCACTGGCTCACTATAGTCCCCTTGGTAACCATCTACATACTTCCTTTCAATTCTATGGAGAAAGAGTCAGTGTCTAGACTCCAGGGCCTGCCTGTACTTCTGAAGCCTGATGGGGCAGTCACCACAAGGACAATGACCTATGTCTCCCTGAACTTGGGAGAAAAAGCCTAAACCATTTTACAAAGACCTTTTCCTGAAAACTTCCAGCAAAGTGAGACCTTGGAGAAGGGAGTTGTGGTAGTTTAGTTTGTGTGTCAACTTGGTTGGGCCTGGTTGAGTGGCTGGGCAGCTGGATGTAGTATTCCCCATCATGAGACTGGTAATCACTCCATGGTGGAATCTACAGTGAGCAGCTGCCTTAGGGAATGTGGTCTGCTTCCTGTATATAAGCATAAGCCTTGGGGAATGGTCACGTAGCCACGTCATTGTTCAGCAGCCTGCCACACTCTGCTGACCTGGGGACTTACAATGGACTTGAGTTGATGGCCTGCCATGTGGTTTGGTAACATCAGGACTGTGCCTTTTTACTTGTCAACCTTGGGCTTGGAAGACTCAGCAGCCAGCAGCTGTCTGAGTGAAGAAAAGCCTCTAGCTTCAGTAGGCCAGGAGCTGGAGGTAGAGCTAAAGCCCAAGGCTGAGGGGCTTTCACCCAGCCCCTAGAGCCTGGTGCTTTGAACTTGGGCTTAAATCCTCCAAATTGTAAGAGAATAAACTCCTGTTTGTTAAGGCCATACCATTTATGGTATATTCTTGTCAAAGTGGCACTAGGTAACCAGAACAGGAGTATGTGAAGAAGATTCCATATCCTGTTGGGCAAAAAGTGAGGCATAGGGGATTTGGCAGGAGCTCTGGTAGCATAGTGCCTAAGGCACTTGACTGCTTACCAGAAAGCTGGCGGTTCAAACCCACCAGCCACTCCTCGGAAGGAAGGTTGGGCAATCTACTTCCATAGTGATACTGCCTCGGAAACCCAAAGAGAGGTCGTTATGAGTCGGGTCCGACTTGACAGCACGTAACAACAACAACAACAACAAGGGGATTTGTCTGGACCAGTCTAATACTCTAAATGACCTCCCTGCTCCCAACTGCCACAGACAGACACACTGATCCCCAGGCCTATCACTGAGCCCTGCTCCATTCCAAGTGCCCAGAGCCTTCCCTGGACACTCATTGTGTCTGGTTCCCCTGTGAGGTAAAATCTGAGGCCTCTCCCCATTGCTGTATCAACTTTACAGTCCTGCAACCTCTAGGAAGCTCAGCTCCCTCCTGCAGCTGTCAGAGACACTTCCCTCCTGGGACTTTGGGAATGGTCTCCTGCTCTAGAAGCTACCTCCTTGGATTCCAGTGGAGTGGTATCTTCCATGTAGAGTGACAGTACCCAGGAACCCTCACAAACACAGTCTCAGGATGTTTGGCCTCGAGCTCCCTAGTGGCTTATGCAGGGAAAGACAAAGTTTCAGCCCCTATAGCTCAGCCTACCACAAAGCTTAGGCTCCTCACAGTAATACCCCAGACCACTGCTGTCCATGAGGCCAGTCCTGACACATCTGCAGATGCTAGGACATCAGCTGCTCTCCGCCTCTTCCACCAAAGTTCTTTAAAGCCCATCACCCTCTCTCCTGGCTCCAGCCTCTGGGGAGGTAGGCGAATCTGCCAAGCCCTCCCTTCCCTCCTCCTGGCAGCAGGACTCCTGGCCTCCCTCACCCCTCCTACAAAAAAAAAAAAAAAAAAAAAAAAAAAAAAAAAGCCAGCAGCTGCTGTCATTCCATTTGAAGCACCTTCACGGCAGTCCCAGCCTCAGATCCAGAAAGAGGCAAAAGAGGAGGAGAATGTGTATGTGCAGGCACACACACGCACATAATCTGCTACAGGCAGCCAGTTACAGGCAGCCAGAAGCGCCCAGAGCCTCATTAGCAGCCTCCTTTCTCTGACCCCAGGGCAGTGGGGAAGAGTGCAGGGGTGGGAGGGAACCTTGTACTCCCTTCTGTCGCCTGGGCTGAAAGGCACAGAGCCAGCCTGCCCACAGCAGGAAGAGAACAGCAAACAGAGCCAGCCTCTTCCTCATCTCTTACCTGGCTTTGTTCCCCAAGGCATAAGATTAAACTAAACACAGGGTCACAGGGGACCCTGCCAGAAACAAGCAGAAGACCTTGGGTCATCCCTCTACTTTAGGCAGTCTGGAGTCCTTCACTCTTGCAGCTGGTGGCCAAGCCCACACAAGTCTGACTCCCAGTCATGTGTGGGAGAAACCCTTTCTCTCACCCTACATCCCTGATTTCCTCATCCCAGAGAGGAAAGAGGATGGTACTGCCCCTGCTCAAGTCTCCCCTCCAGGAGACTCCAGCCCAGGGCATGGCTGACAGGCTCCCACAGGAGGGGGAGGAAGGAGGAAGGGCTTTCATCAAAGAGGTGACGTCAAAACCAGGCAACTTGTGAAGCTGTCAGGGGCCGGGAAATTTGGACAAAGGTGTCTAAAAATAAACCCCTGAAGCCAGGAAAAGGCTTTGATGGCTGAGTTGGTTGCCACCACACCATATACCCGTGCTCTGTTCTGAGGTCTGGAACCCAGGGAGTCTCTTCTCAGGTGTCCTCTTCCAGATTGGCCCTTGGGTTGAGGATGGTACAGACAGGACTCAAGACAATGCACACCAGCCATTCCTCAGGTGAGATGGGTAAAGCCCACCTTCAGGAGGCATGCTGAGCAGGCTTAGGGCACTGAGGTCTCCCTTCCTGTCCTCACCACCAGCCAGTTCCCGCAACTCCTGCCTCACCATGCCCCTTAGCCTCTACTCCCACATCCCACACAAGCATACCTTTCCCCAGCCCCATTTCTGGTTTTCACAAAGGAAACCCTCATCTCTGTCCTCTCCTGGCCTGCCTTCCCATTTCCAGGTCTTCTCACCCTGTTTCTTCGAACTTTCCTGTCCTTGGCCACCAAAGCCCCAGCTGACAACAGAGGGCCTCATTTATTCATCCCACTAAACCTGAGCAGACTCCCATACCCCTTTCCCTGGGCCCTGTCTGAGCTCCCATTTCTATCAAGGCCAGACCCTCTTCTCCATGCTACTCTGGAGAATGAAGCCACAAGGTTCCTCCTCCAAGTTTCCCTAAGCTCCCATTCATGCTGATTTTCCACACCCTCTGCACAGTCTTGCCTGCCACAGGCCATCAACTGCTGACCTGGCCGAAAAGTGGCTAAGATGCTCAAGGCAGCCTTCTAGTTAAACACCAATCTCTCCAAACACATCCAACAAACCAACATTCCCTCTGAATTACAGACTCTACATGTATCACTGTTGACTGCATACCCTCACCCAGATCAGGCAGCTCCACCGACACAGCCCATAGAGCTGATCTGCCCTCCAAACCATGTCTTCCTTCAGTTCCCCACATCTCAATGAAACTCTTCATTGCATACTTACCTGCCTGCTCAGGCCAGAGGGAATTAAACCCTTCCATGACTCCTCCTGCTCCTCTCCTCTCCCGACCAACCCACCCACAAGTCCATCTGCCCCCGAAATACATCATTAATCTCCCCCTTGTCTATATCTCTGTAGCCAATACCTTAGCACAAGCCACTGCCATTCGTGGCTAAGATTCATAACAGCCTCCTAAACACACCACCAGGTCCCTGTGATCCATGACCCAGGTCCACCCCAACCAGGGAGGGGACATCCCATCATGTACAGACATGGCTCATATCATGGTACTTTCCTGGTTGGAATCTTGCAGTGAGACTTACAGTGTTCCTCACTCTGCTTGGCCTGCAACGTTCTTATCCCACTCTCCAGAGGTTATTCTAGGACTCTGCTTTAGAGGGTCTTCCTCAGAGAAGCCATCCCTGACCACTCTGTCCAAGTTGGTCCCCCTGACTTTTCTCACCACTGCATGTTGTTCTTTTCTAGCATATATCCCATTTGTCTGGCACTTATATTACCTATCTCCACCACGTATTTCATGCTTCTTTCACATGTCTCATTGTGCCCACCATAACACATAGCATACACTCAGTAAGTTGAACCAATGAATAAACAATGGTTTCCAAGTCCCAACAGGGATCATTTCCCTGGTACCCAAGTTTGCAAAAGGTTTGAGAGAAGAGATATGCAACAGGGCAAGTTTTTAAAAATCTCTGTGGACAAAGACCCCCGTCAGACATCCCGTGGCTGCCTGTCTTCCTTCCCCCTGGCAGGTCAGGCTGCCAGAGTTACCAATGACCAGCCCAGAAAGTGAAGGAGACAAAGCCTGCTGTTGCTGTTCCACTCCTGGATTCAAGGAGCAGACCTGACTTAAGGGCCTCAGGCCTAAGTGTCCTGAGCCCATGAAGCACACGGGTACCTGGGACCTGCCCAGTAGCTGGAAGCCTCAGAGTCCTTGCTATGCAGGCCTCCAGCAGGATGGGGACAAGGTGGACCTACCCACCCACCTGAGTATTAAGAATGTCTCAGGTTGAAGCCAACACAGGACTGACAGTCCAGCTTTCTGAGTAAGCTCCCTGTGCTCCTGTGAGGATGTTCTGGAAGAGATGCAGCAGCCTTTGCCCATCTTCCCAGCTCCACAGGCACCTATTCCACAGGGGGCCCAGGGTGCTGTCCTCCCCAGATCACCTCCCCTTCACAGTTCAGGCAGCCTTTCACAGTTCTCTCCACTCCCATCTATAAACCAGGACTATAGTCTCACCTTGATGTAGGCATCCAGGGCAGGATGGACACGGCGGGTAGCCAGCCAGATAGACAGGGGGGTGGTGTAGGGGAAGGTGGCTGTTACCACGTGGCTGGGTGCCGGGAAGGAGAACACCTTGAAGCCAAATTTCTGGTAGAGATGGATGAGCTCAGGGGAGGGTGAGTCCTCACCTTCGCTCAGGATGCTGCCCACTGCACAGCGGCACTTCTCAGGGGGCACCTGGGGAGGCAGAGAAGGAGTGTCAGAGGCTAAGGAAGAAGGTCCCTGAACATCTTGCTTTCATGCCAGCTTGGGCCTGGCAGAACTACTAGCTCTGACAGGGCACACAGCCCCAGACACCAGAACTGAGCAATTTTCCTGCTGGAACATATCTACGGCCACTAGCATGTGGCATCCTATTGCAGTACTCTCATCCAGCCCTTTATATATTCCTTCACCAAAAGCTCCACACTGGAGATCTGCGGGTCATGGCAGGGAATTACTTGGTCTCTCCCTGCTAAGAACCTGGGAGAGGGAAGGATGAAGAGGACCTTTGAACCCTCATGCCCTCAAACTCCTACCCTACACACTCCTAGTCCATCAACAGCACCACTAAGGGGCCTGCCTGCCAGCCTCCTGATATGATCTTCAGTCCCCTGGGCCATAGGCAGGCCTATAGGCCAGCCAATCCTGCCCAGTTCCTAGCTCCTTTGCTTCCTATCTCCTAAAAGAGAGCAGCCTTCACTGACAGAGAAATTGTGGCAGGCAAAGAGTAGGTCCCAGCAAAACTGGAAGGTAGGAGAAAGGAAAAGAGCTCAGAGCTCTTCAAGGAAGCAAAAGTATGTATCTGTTAGGTTTTTAGGGACAAAGAGGCATGGGTGGGGACCTGACATCTGGATGGGGGAGGGCAGCTGTAGGAAGCGCTGGTCAAGACAAGGTATCTCATTGAATTCTGGGTTGCTGATGAAACTGTGCAAGGGCATCTTCCCACAGCAACTCAGGCAAGGTTAGCCACCATCACCTGGGCCTCCAGATTCCTGCTCCAATCTATGCCCATTCCAGGCCCTGTCCCACTTTCCAAGTCACTTCCTGCTAAGTCTGAGAGCTGGTTCCCTTCCCAGTCCCTCTAAGCCCCTAGTATCTGTACTTCTGCTCCCTTCCTCACCTCCCCAGGCTCTTAGAAACCCCAGCCAATGGGCTCCAATGTGAGCCTCCAGTATTTTCCTAGGGCTGACTCAGGCCTGCAAGGCCTAGCTCTCACTTCTCCTGACATCAGGGAGGCCCTGTGGTGCTTTCTTCCTGCTACGTCCCATGTCAATCTTCCTGTAGCTTGAGTCTACCTGAGTACTCAGGTTGGGCCCTGGGGGTACCTGTTCCTATCCAGAAGACTCACCAGAGACCTCACATTCTCAATCCTTGATATGAGGACTCCTTTCTCTTCTGCCCCCAGAGCCCACTGACCCCTAATTTTAAACAGGTTACTGCCTCTGCCTCTACCGTTTCTCCTCAGTCTACCTTCCCACCACTACAAAGTCACCTCTGCCCTCCCATTTCTGTCCCTTTCAAGGAACTACAGGGATTTCTTCTCAGCCGTGCTCTGCCACCTTTATTCTGATCAACTTGGCCCTGTTCCTGGAGTTACACTGTCTGGAATCTAGGCACTTATTAAACCCATTAAAACCAAAATTACCACAGAGTTTACTCCAACTAATGGTGACCCTGTGTTTCAAAACCAGACTGACTCCAGAGCAAAGAAGAATGAAGAAAACCAAAGATTCATGGCAACAATTAGTCCTAGCAACTGGTACACCATGCAATCTGCAGCCTATACGACTATGAGACCAGAAGAGCTAGATAGTATTTGGCTACCGCTGTCAACCACTCGGAGGGGGATCTACGTAGGAGATCCTGGATAGAGAGGAAGAACAATGTGGAACAAAATTCAAAATCATTTGGGAAAAAAAAAGGGAACCAGGTTTGCTGGTCTGATAGAGCCTGGTAGAACCACTGAGACTGTGGCCCCTAGCTGTCCTTCAGGTCTGGAATTGAACCCACACCTGTGGCTCCAGCCAAGCAGAAGGGCATATGAGTTGAACATTTACCTGAGGTGAATGCACTCTTTGGAAAGAACAATTGTGGGAGAAAGAAGGGCTGTTTATGTACAAGGAGACAGCTCAGGGGGCTGGAGTGCATGAATGGATGGACACAGGGAGGAGGTAACTGTTGGGAGGAAGTGGGAGGGGAGCTGTTGCATTGTGGTAGATTGTAGTCAATGTCATGAGATGGGGTGTATGTGAACTGTTGTATGGAAAGTGAATGTGCTCTGTAAATTTTCACCCAAATCACAATTAAAAAAAAAAAAAAAAACAAAACTGTCCTTTATGGGATTTTCAGTAGTTCTTTTCCCAGAAGTAGACTGCCAGGCCTTTCTCCCAAGGAGCCTATGGGTTGACTCAAACCTCCAACCTTTCAGTTAGCAAACGAGTATGTTAACCATTTGCACCACCCAACCCATGTGGCTCTGGTCCCCTTGCTGCTCTCTACAATTCAATGACATCAAGCCTACTTCAGGGCTTTAATGGCAGACAATATGGTTCAATGGTCAGGACCACAATGTGGAGAGATGCAAGCCTAGATGTGACTCCTGGGTCATGGGATCCTGGACAAGTCACCTGGCTTCTTGAAGCCCCAGTTCCTTGGTATGTATTTATGTGACACTGTACATGAAAGCTTGGCCTGGGTCCAGCACTCAGCAACTGCTCCATAATAGTTGGTGGTTATTAGTAGTTGTGACACAGGCCAAATGACTGTTCCTTGGCATAGAATGCCCATCCATACAAATCTCTGAATATGCAGTTCCTCCCTGCCCATCCTTCAGGCTTAAACATCCTGTTAGGGAACCTCTCAGGGTGGTTTCAGTGGCACCCTTCCCCTCCCCACACACATCAACATTTCAATGTAAACATTCTTGCCCAGTGAAGTCTACCTGGCAGCACAGTCACTTCTCTCTGCCTCAAAGCTCCTCCTATCCCACCCACAGAGAAGGCATCACTGTAGTACCACCCCTCATCTGCAGATGGTGCAACTACCCCACTCACACCCCAAAAGGAAGCCGGCCAGATTTGGGGGTTGGCAGGAGGTTCTAGTAGACCTTGCACAGACAGACAGACCAAGGAGTGGTACTGTTGCAAAGCCCATTTACACGTCTCTGAGTCTAGCAACTGTGTTGTACAAAAGAGGCATTAAATAGAGGTTATATGGAGAAATGGATGGAGGATCACTTGACTTCTCATCTCCATCCCTTGTCCGGTCTGGGACAGACTCTTTCCTGGTATCACTTCAGCAGTCCTCATGGGGTTCCCAAAAGGCATCAGGAACACTTGTGATCACTCACACTCCTGCTCAGAACCTCTCAATGACTCCCCAATTCACCTTTCAGATGAAACAGAACTCCTAAGCCTGGCATGAGAGGCCATGTGAAAGTGGCCAGCACCAACACTGCCCAGATCTATCCATACACTTACCTCTGCAGCTCCAGACCCCAGCAGGGGCCAGAGCCCAGGTGGGCAGGCACCCACTGAACATCTGTGTGGCAGAGGGAAGGACAGATCCAGGCTGTGGCCCAGCCTGCCTTGCCAACCTCCTCTCCCACCACACCCCCACACACACCCACATGGAACTATTTGCAGCTCCCCAAACATGCCACGTCCTCCTATGCTTCCTGCCTTTGCGTAAGCTACTTCCTCTGCTTGGAATGTCCTTCTTCACCCTACTCTAGAGTCCCTTCTGCAGGGGAAACTCCTGTCCATCAGCTCAACCCACCTCCTCAAAGCCTTCTGTTCCTCCCTGCTAAGCAAGCAGCCCCTCCTCTCTGATCCCAAATGCCCACATGAGGGAGGTATTGTGCTGTACTGCAATTGATGGCTTCCCCACTTCCCCTCCACCCCTTATTCCAACTCCACACCTCTAGGCAGGAAGGTACAGGGCTCCCCAGGATCCCACGTGCACACAAAAGTTCGTGGGGTATGCTCAGTGAGGGTTCACACACTCACATACCAGTCTTGCACTTGAGCAAACCTCTTCTTCCTCTACCTGGAGAAAGGAGGGGCTCTTGTCACAGTGGAGGGAGGCAGCTAGTAAGGAGAAAAGACTTGGGATTCTGGAGGCGTGTGGGGCACAGGTCAGGACTTATTGCTCTCTCCTTGGCCAGAAGGGGGACTCTAGGTTAGTCAGCAAGCCCACCACCTGACAAGCAGTCCCATGCCAGGCTGGAGTCAGAAAGCAGCCGAATCAGGTACCAGCAAAGAAATAGGACAAACCTTAAGCCACAGAGTGACAAGGGGCTCAGGAGCCGGTGAAGACTTCCCTGGGATTCCAGAAACAAGGTCACTCCTGGGGAAATGGTCTACTGAGGTGTAAAGGGCCCAGAAGGTGGGTGTGTCCTGGGAAGACCCCACCCACTCCAGTCCAGCGCAACGTTTTAATTTGGCCCTAAGCCTGGAATGTCAGCCTGGACCACCCAGTTCCATCTGCCTGCTCCCTTTCCTATTAGTCATTTCTTTGGATAGTACCTGTGTCCAGAACAAGAGCTAGACCAGAACTAGCACTAGCAATGATTCAAGCCAAGGAGACAGGGCAATGGCCAGATCCACCACCACCCTGGGTAATAGTAAGGCCATCCAGGATCTGACTTCACTGCAAGAATACCAGGAAAGATGGAGGGGCACACCAGGCCCCAGAGCACCTTCTGCAGGGCTATGAGGTCTGCTGAGTCCCAGCAATGCAGAGAAAGGGGAGTCTGCTTAGAACCTAAAGCTTCCAGGTATAAGCTGGTCCTAAGCCTGGCCCTACTGCCCCTTTCAGAGAGGTCTCATAATACTCATAATACTCTATCTTGTGAGGCCATAGTGGAGAAAGTCACCTTAGGGCCCTGCCCAGCCATGAGCTCAATGAGATCAGTATCTCCTAGGATTCAGGAAGGATAAATGGAATCAGCTGACACAGACCAAACTCAGCTCTCAAATTCGGCAGAAATGGCCAGCCCCAGGTCCACAGCCTATATGGCCCGACAGGGACAGCTGTACCATCTGCCACTGCCAGGCCCCAGAGGGCTGCCATGACACCTTTCCATACTAGTCTACCCAGTCAGAACTGCCAAGGTAAAGAAAGAAGTAAGAATAGTGCCTCCATCTCCACTGGTGCCCCAGAAGAGAGCAGCTCTACCTGCCCATTATTAGAGG